ACTTAGAGGAATTAATAAATCAACAAATTGATAAGCGACTAAGCACTTATCAACCCACCGAAAATAAAGATTGACAAAAATGAAAGGATATTAGTTGAGATTTCACCGAAACCTTAGTAAAAGAGTGAAAAAGTAAAGGCTTTTTTTACGAACAGACTAAGGACTGAATAAATATTGGTTTAACTCCGAATGACAGTGAATTAGCTCAATATTTAAGAGACATAGTTCAGTTATCCCCCGAAGAAGTTTTGAATAATAGCAATATCGAAAAACTAAAAGAACAGTTTACCGAATGACAAAAAAAAGAGCCAGAAAAACCCACTCCCACTACTTCTACTTACGATAATTTACTAAACAACCTTAATGCCGAAGAAGCTGCCCGGCAAAGAAAAAAGCAAGAACGGGAAGCAACTCGCAAGAAATTAGAAGCCGAAGAACTAAAAAGAAGAGAACAAAATCTCAGTGAAAAAGACCGCAAACTAAAAGAACAAGCCGAACAAAGACAAAAAGAAAAACAATTAGCGGAACTGGAAGAAGCAAAAAGGGAAGAAGCCAGAATAGCCCGTGAACAAGCCTTAAAAGAAGAACAAGAAGCTTTTTTAAATACTCAGCAGAAAAACCTAGCCGAGAAACAAAAACAACGTGAAGCAAACTTTGCTAACCAACAAAAAGAAGCTGAGTTAGCCGAACAGAAGAAAAAGGCTGCCATTGATGAATTAGAAAAACAGAATAAGTTTGCCAAGGAAAAACTGGCCAGAGATAAGGAACTATTAGAGCAAGAAACTCAGAAAAAATTAGAGCAGATTGCGGTTGATGACCAAAAAGCCCGACAAGCCATTTTAGACCAGCAAAAAAAAGATGAATTGGCTTTGGAGCAAACCATTAAAGAAAGAGAACAAGAACTAAGCAGAGAAAAGGCTAAACAAGCCAAAGAACTAGCCCAACTAAAAGCCAATAATAAAGATAAGTTAGAAAAAGAACAGGCCGAATTAGCCAATCAGAAAGCTCGGGATGCAGCCGAATTAGAGCGATTAAAAACGGAAAAAGACCTCAATGACCAGAAAAAACAAGAGTGAGAAAATAACCGCGAAAAACGGGACTTAGCCGAAAATGAACGACAACGAGTTATGAAACTAGTCAATGTTCGCGAACAGGCTTGAAAGGCTATTCTCAACTATGGACTAGGTAAAAAGGAAATGGAGAAATGCACTTACTACAACGGCGACCCCATTCCTTATAACTTCCAATCGGCGGGTGGTTCTTGGGTGAAAATGCCCGATGTAGAAGAATTGTTTGACAAGTATCCTGGTATGACGGTTAATCTTTACCATGTCACCGTCCAAGGCAAAGTCAAAGGAGTCCATGATACCCCCATGACCGATAATGATATTAAGGAAATCAAAGCTATTGGTCGAGAATTAGGGGATAAGTTTTACACCAAAAAAGAATTAAAAGAGTGGTGTTTTAGTCTGAATAATGAGAACTTTTTTAATTAAAATTTAATTATGGATAATAGTCAAGTTTTAGTAATAGTTTTAATTTTGGTAGTTCTGTGAGTTGCTTATCAGTCTCAGAAAAAGCCCAAAGTAAATAAATTTACTCAAACTGAGCTAATAACTAAGGAGGACAAGGAAAGTCAAACCGAATTAGATAGTGAAGAGGAAGCAACTGATTCAAGTTGGGAAGAAGAGGTTGAGTCAAGTCCGGAAGAACAAACTATTCACCAACTCTTAAAAGATAATAACATAAAAACTAGTGATTTACCAGCAGAATTTCAGAATTGAGAAGCGGAATTAACTCAGTTAGATAGTGCCGAAGCGAGGAAGGCTTTTCAGCACAAGTTAGAGCAAGCAATTAAAGAACTAACCCAAAAAAAGGCTGAAATAGCAGATTTTTTTGATAAGTTTTTAGGAAGGAATAGGAAACAGAAAGAAGAGGGCAAAAGTGAATCAGAACTCAGTCTATCTAAACTTAATACTGACCTAGACGAGAGACTAAAAAAATATAAAAAAGAACCCGAGAGAGAGAGTAAACCGAGGACTTTACAAGAATTATTGGATAAAGAACGCTCTAATAAGAAATACTTAAAAAAAATCATCTTTAACCAAGAAAATTCCGAAAAAGAACTTGACGGGGGAGAATTAACTATCCAAGATTATCCCAATTTAGAAGTAGTAACAATTGATGGAGAATGTTTAAAATCTAAGCTGACTAAATTAGAGATTAAAAATTGTCCTAATTTGGCTTGTCTTAAATCCTACAATAATAATTTAACTAGTTTAGATGTAAGTGAATGTATTAATTTAAAAACACTCGCTCTCTTTTTTAATCAAATAACTTCCTTGGACGTCAGTAATAATCCAAAATTAACTGATTTATTCTGTGACGCTGAATTATCTACTGAAAACAAAATAGTTGGTTTAGAAAAGACTTCTATAATTAGGTTAGATTTTCAAGGTGGTGATTTATTAATAAAAAGCCAAAATTCTAAGTTTATTTGAGATTGTTTTATAAGAAAATATAACACGACCTTTCCCGAAATGAAATTACTAGATATTAGTGATTTAAATATTTTGGCTCAGCAAGTAAATAAAGAAACAGTCAATAATGAAGAGTTTTTGAAACAACTTTGTAATGAAAAAGCCTTGAAAGTTATTGAGAGACGAGGATACAGAGAACGCCTCTACTGAACTCTTGACACCCTTGCTAATCAAATCCTTGGTCGTTGTTTAATTATTGGTAATCGTTTATATGAGGGTAAGGATGAAGAATACGAGAAAAACTTAGAGGAATTAGCCAAATCTTTACACTGTATGTCAATGAACCCTAAAAACCCTGTCGCTTCTATTTATCAAAACAGGGAAAAGTTAGTCCAGCAAGCCCTCACTGGTGATAAAACTCTCTTAGCCAAAATAGCTGATTTACCTTATATTTCCGAGTGAGTAAAAGAGCA